ATATCCTTGGGTTGGCTCCTATTTAAAAGAGAGAGAGAGAGAGAGAGAGAGAGAGAGAGAGACAGAGAGAGAGAGAGAGAGAGAGAGAGATTTCCTAACTAGGGAGGATATTATCTCAAAACCTAATCTTTTCACTACAGTCTTCTCCCAGATGCTTGCCGGACCCCTGAACTTGCTGCCTTCTTGCTTCTGCGCATTTACTGGATCTTGTCACATGCACTGTTTGATCACTGTTTTGACCAGTTTTGCACATCCCATGGAACTTCAGAAGTCCTTAGTTTTTTCAACTGCTTTGCTCTGATTCCTGTTTGATGCCTCCAGAAATCAATCTTTCTACTTTCTATATCACCTCGCATTCTTTCAACAAAAGTTTTGAGTTCCTACAGTGTACTAAGGCCTATCATAGAGACTGAGACTCTAGCCATGAATACTCCATTAAGGAGCTGAGGATTTAACAGAGACAATGGCAAGTAAACAGACAATCACGATGCCACATAAGTGCTGGATATGGTTAGTAGAGGTTAGCACAGAATGGGGCACTTAGCCCAGCACCTGGGGGATAAGAGAAGCTTTCCTGGAGTCAGCAACATCTAAGCAGTCTAGGCCAGAAGAAAATAATAAAAGATATTCTATGCTAAGGAAGTAACATCTATAAATGCTCTGAGACATAAATCATGGTTCCTTCAGGGAACTAAAAGTAGTCAAGTACAGCTGTAAAAAGTGTGGTAAAACAGGCTGGGAAGGAAATCCTGGGCTAGACCACGAGACGCTTTATATGCTATTCTAAGAACTTATCCTGTAGGTGATGGGGAATCACTGAAAGCATATGCATGATATGGTCAGATTTATATTTTAGGAAGACTGGCATCGATGTGGAGGATGGATTTCACCGTCCAGCTATTTCTCTGAACCTGACCCATACTCTTGCCTGTCCTACCTTATCTTTCTCGGTTTTGAATAGCCCAGCTCCACACACCCCTTTCCCCATTAGTGCCCTCAAACAAAACTAATAATCAGGATTAGTTTAAAACCCTATTCAAAAAGAACAAACAAACAAACAAAAAAAACCCACAAATGATCTGATTCCACTTCACAGAACCAAACTCTTATGGGAATAGAGCCTGGGAATCTCCATTTATAAATCTCCCCAAATGACTCTGAGGCAGCTGAACTATGGACCAGTATTTGGGAACTAGCATAGGCTGTTATTTATATCACTAGCTACCAGATATGTTGATAAACACAAGCAACATATTTGGCTTGCTGAATTAGATTGAAAATTGCTGGAGTAAGTATCACTCTAAACGTCTTCCTTCTACAGAATCTATAACTCTACTTCCAGCACTGAAAAAGTCAATCCCTTACTTTCACCCTTCAAGAACTTCCACTCCACTTATTCTTTGAATAACATGTCCAAATCTTAATATGACCTATTAGGCTGCCAGATCTGGCTCTCATTCCTCTCAAGCTATTCTTCTCTTTACCTTGTACCTGTTATTAACAGTACAAAGGGGGGATGTTCATACAATTTACTCCCCAATTTCTACTTTCTCAGTTAAATTAAGGATAGATATGAAGTTGGGAAATTGTGTAGAGCAGTAAACATCTGGAAAATTTCTAAGGAGAATGGTAAGTGACTTGACTTAGGAAGAGAAAAGGGACTGATGGTCAACCTCAAAGATCCAACTGAGTTGAAGATCACATATTGGTATTCA